TTGGTATAGTCGCGTAGCCCTTATCAAGGATATCGACTTTTGTTCTTGGCCCGTGTTGATTTGAGCACTGTAGGGTCGTAGATCGTTGAGAAAAGGTGAAAAGAGCTTGAGTTTCCCTCTCTTATTTTCTATCGGGTAATAGCTAAGCAAAAATGAGGGAAGAAATCAGATTTTTTCCCTATTTATACCTTTAGGGTGTGTTTGGCAAAAGGGATAAAGTGGGATAAATCCAATTGGATTGGGTTTTCTTGTCCGGTGGCCCACAAATCCTTGATTTGGATCCATTTTTTTGTATGGGATATTCGTTGGGCTCATTTCCTCGGCCCGTAGTAATTTCCCCCATTTATCCCTTCTGACTCGCTTTATTATATCCCACCATAACTTTGGGATTAGTTAGCCCAATGACCAGATTGGGCTTGTAATTACTAAACTACCCTCAAACAGTACCAACGGTAAGGTTTTTACCCCTCACCCATTTTTGTCTTCTTCACTTTACTTCTTCTCATTGGTCCTTCTTCCCGCAAGAGGCGGCCAGTGCAAGGTAAATCTCTCTCTCTCTCTTTTTCTCTCTCTATATATATATATCTATCTATCTCAAAGTCCATATGTCGTTTTTCTCTCTATACATCTGTGTATATATATGTGTATATCTCTCTTTCTCTTTCTCTCTCTCTCTTTCTCTCTCTCTCTCTATCTGTGTGTGTGTGTGTGTATCTTGGTCTATATGTATATGTATACAAGATTTACAACCTGAAAAACAAACCTCACCAAAGAGAAAGTTCTGAAAAGTCTGATTTGTAGAGCAAAGGTCATTCCACATACACTTTCTCTGCTTCTTCGTACAGACCCAGAAACTAAAACACTAGCCTAAGATTATTATTATTTTTTTAAAATTCTGATCATTTAAAAAAAAATAATTCTGATTTTTTTTTTCTCTCAACAAAAACAGGGATTAATTATGACCATATTAAAAAAAATTATTTAAAATTTTTTTTTTTGATTAGAGCTTGCATGCAAGCAAGATGATGTTAATCATAGTTCAAGAATATCCAAGCCATTGACATGCAAATTCTTTTATCCATACAATCAAGAAATGACACCTCTCTCTCTCTCTCTCTCTCTCTCTCTCTCTCTCTGGGGGTGATTTAGTTGCAAAAAATTTTTGTTTGTGACCTCTCCCAAAAAATTTTGCTTTAGGTGAATGGTTTGTTCTATTTTAGTTCTGATTATTGTTCATTTTGCGATTACCATGTAATGCTTTTGATTTTACTTCCAGCCAACCTTCAATATGTAATATTATCTGAGATAATTTTTTTTTTCATTTAGAAAAATACCAGGAAAGCAAACATATTTTGTAGTAATATGAAAGAAAAAAAAATTAATTTTATGGCTTCAAGCTCATAAAACAGAATGACGTTTCTAGAATCTTATAAGCAAATTAATTAGATCAAAATTTTTTGGTATTGCAAATAGTAAAACCAAATTATTTTCGGTTTGTGCACTTGGTAACATAGATGAAAATTGGAGTGAAGTTTAAAGGTGGACAAAATAAATAATGTTACCTAACCCAACATAGACTTTGGATTTGATAGTAGTCAAGGGTAAAATTGTAATTTAATGTAAAAGGTAAGAGATTTTACACAAAAAAAAAAAATGGTTTTTCTTTGGGCCCCTTAAAATACAAAAAATACTTCCCAAAGCAAGAATTGGATTACACAACTTTATTAGTATCTTGTCTATATCCTTCGGACTTGGGTTTTCATTGGATTGGTTTGGATTAAAAAACCAAACCAATCCTATCCCCCACATACTTGCCAAACACACCCTTAGAATACTTGGCCCACAACATACCACACGACCCTCTTTTTTTCGGGTTCATTTTCGCCCCGAAACGATTAAATTTTGCCTCGGTCCAAGTTTAAAATATTTTTACTTTAAGTTGTCTTAAAATTTTTTTTAAATTTTGAAATTTTTATTAAAATTCCCGTTTTTGGGGTCACCCGAGACTCGACCGTTTCGTAAAATGTGAAAAATTCGACTATCTCAGAACTCAACGAAATTTGACGGAGTAACTAGATTTTGCGAGATGAATCCAACGGTGAGGTCTGTTTTGTCATTCGAGTTCTAGAAAATTTCAAGTTTACAAATTATCATTTTGTCTTTTTTTATAAAAGTTTAAATTTACCCGGATTTTACAATCACAAATAATATAGCATTAATATTTTATTCTAACTCTAAAAGGGTTGCATGGGTATTAACTACATTATTAGGATTAATTTTGTCAAACAAAATGTTTTCACTTTTATTGACATTTTATAGTATTATACAAAAATTAATAAAATATATTATATATATGTCTGAATTAAATATTATCTAAAATTTACCAAACAAGTTTTTCATTGCTCATATTCTTTTTTAGGATTATGAAAACTTTGTATGTTCATAAATGTTTTTATTAAAGTTCTATTTTTTAAAAATTTTGTGATTGAGATTGATTTTCTAGTGATGTCTGAGAAATTAATTTTTTTTAAATTTATTTGATTAAGATTCCACTTCCTTGAATAAAATAAAAGTGATTGTCAATATACTAATTATTTTGGAACCTTACTATAATTAAGAATTAGATAGGTGCATTGAAATAAAATTTAATATACTACTCTATAATATATATTATCAAGTATAATAAAATTTTAAAAAATTCAAGTTTTTACTTAAAAAGACATTAAAATCTATTTCAAATAAAATATGAATATAGCATAGAAATTTTATTGTGGCCAAAGAATTATATTGATGTAACATAAATTGATTTCAAAAAACTATATATACGATTATTTTTTATCTTATAAATGAAATGGTTAAACATTTTGATGAAAAAGAAATTTGACATATGTAGGTATAATATTATCTTTGCATATGGGATGAGTAACATTATATTGATGACATTTTTGAAAGTTTTTTAAACAGTTTATTGAAAAGATAATGATGAATATTATTTTAGGGGTTATATAGTTAATTTTTTTTATAGAAACTAATATTTATAATAGTGAATAGATAATTAAAAGAGATGTCAGAGATGATTTAGTGATTTAAATACATAAAGATAAGATGATAATTTAAATATTTAATTGTAAAATGATAGAGTAGTATTTGCAAGTTTTTATAAAGGTAAAATAGAGAATCAAAGGTTTTTCATATTAAGGTATTTTTATTAGTAGTATAGATATAGATTATAGTACTATAGATATAGATACATAGACATGGTAGAGTAATGATTCTATACCGTTAGAGGAGGGTTTTTTTTTATCATCTAGATTGTCTATTCTACATCTCTAAGCAATTATTCATGTTCTTCGTTCGAATGAGATAATTTTGGTGGGGTTTAGGTGGACAGAGTAGAGACAAATGAGCACAAAGTAACATAAGAAAAAAAAAATGTTTCTCCTATGAAGCCTCAAGAATCAACAAGACTTAAGTGAACCATTCATTAATTTTATTCAGAAGTTTAACAACGGACATATTATTTTACAAATAAAGGTCGAGATTAAACCAAATTTCCCTGTTGAAAGGCATTATCAATATTTTTCATATAAAAAATCAATCTTTGCATGAACACACACACATACATACCCACACATATATGTATATACTATAAATTTGCAAATTTATGGATTTGTTATTGCATGTGTCTCTCTAAGTTATGATTACCTATATTTCATAATATCAAATATTGTTATGGAAGAATTTCTTCTTATGTTTCTATCAGTTTTCTTCAACATAACCCTATACAACACGCACTCAAACCAACATATGAATGATCCGAGTTTCAACTGTTCTAAATTTCTAAAAGAAAGTTTAGCATAAAAATTTTGCATTGGAAAGAAAAAACCCATCAGTTGACTTCAACTGTTTCGTATTAGAAATGAAAAAAAAAAATTCATACTTGATCACTTAATGGATTAACTATCACAATCAAAAATATCCAAGAAGTTGACATGGCAAACAAAACCTTCAATTCCACAATCAAAGCGCTGAACTCTTTGTTTGATAGTGGTATTTTGAATAAATAGTGATCGTGTCATGCCTATAAGCCGAACATAGTTAACAATGATTTAATCCATACATTGTCGTAGAAATTGATGTCATTGTTTTTAGTAACATTACATTTTCAAAAATCATCCTAGAGTAATACATACCGAGGGAGAGTTTTTCATTTGCTTCTCTTCGATGAAAGTTTTATTTTTACTTTATGTACTATACTTTTTGGCCTAATTTTTCTTGGGATTGATTATTTCAACTTCTGGTCAAAAGGTATATTTTAATCTAAATAACTGAGATTTGATAAATTTTCTAAGAGAAACCACAACGTAATTTGTCTACATGGCTCATTATCTTGTACCATCAACAAACATTGTTAAAGATTTTCACCTTATTAGGAGAAAAACATTAATACAATCATGCAAATGTAAAGCTATGAATGCATAAAGAAAAAAGGAAAAAAAATCGCAAAAAGTGTCATTTGTAACCATTTGATGTTTAACTCAACTAAGCAACTTCCTGGAATTTAAGTAATCAATGCATTAAGTAAAAAATCAAAAATATTCCATATATAAAGAATAAAATCAACGAAGCATGAAAGTAAAAACTTGGCCACAAAGTTCCAACCCAAGACATTGGCCGACCATAAAATGTATAAGCATTTCACTAACTAAACAAGCCAATCTTGAAATTAGTCAACCACCTGCAAAAAGTCTAAAATAAATTTAATTTCCTTATCCAAAAAAATGAAGAAATATTTTTTAACTGAACATCAAATAATTGCTACAAGTGTTATTGAAGACGAATTTGTTGAGCTATGTATGCCAAGTGAACTAATGAAATATGATCTATCAAACACTGGCTAGTCAAGAAGTTAGAAGTCATGTGATCTCCATAGGCAGGCATTACAAATCAAAAGCGATGAAACAAATATCATGGTAACTAGTGGGGTAGAGACTCCCATCATGGCTACTTGGACTGATGAAGGATTCAAGACCAAGGGTAATTGATATGTAGTCTAAAATTCTAAAGGTTATGTTAGATATTATTATCTATATCTATACTATTTATAATTATCGGTATCTGCGAATTTTTTTTTGATGTTTTTGTCCCTAATTATTATAATAAAATCAATTATACCCACTTTTATACTTTCATCTAATTTTTGTTATTTACTCTTATTTGACTTTCAACTTATTTTGGATTATTTTATAAAGACTTATAAATTCTTTTGAACTCATTTATTAGTAATACAGTTACATACAATTTTTTATATGTATATGAATAAATACAATAATGTATATGTTAAATTATTATACACATGTAGTTATTATATTGAATTTTACAGTCAAATATCTATTTATATTTTATTTTTTTTATGCAATAATATAATAATATTATAAGTGATCTAATTAATCTATTTAAAAAAATAAAAATAAATAATTTTATAATATAATTAGATGTAAAAATACTTAAAGAAGTTGGAAAAATACCTAAATAAATGACAGATTATGTATTAAAAGATTTATAGAATAAATTAATAATTATATTTAACAATAATAAAAGTATGAATTAATTATTTGACACTGAATTTATTATTTAATTTAATTATATATATAATTCACATTTTCTATAAAAAAAATTATTTAAATTTTTTTGCGTGCAACGCACGTCTTCCATTGCTAGTATAATCTAAAAGTCTAAAAGTCATATCAGTTATTATCATATTAAGAATATTTATAACGGAATTTCAAAAGTTTTATTGTATTACTTTATAGTTTACATAATTTATATTTATATTTATATATTACTTATAAATGTTAGCATTTGCAAAAAAAAATTAATTTATTATTTTATCCCTAACTATTATAATAAAGTTAATTATACTCACGTATATACTGTCATCTAATTTTTGTTTTTTATATTGACTTCAACTTGTTTTGAAATTTTTTATAAGGATTTTAAATTTTTTTTGAATTTATTTATTAGTAATACAATTACAATTACCCATATCTATATTTATACGAAGAAATAAAGTCTTGTATATGTTAAATTATTTTACACATATTATGTTTTATTTTTTGCTATGTAATAATATAATAACATTATAAGTGATCTATCAGTCTATTTAATAAAATAAAGATTAATAATTATATTATAAAATGTTAAAAAAATTGTCACTAATTAAAAATAATTAAAAACATAGTTTTACCATCCTAATTTTTCTTAATTATTTTATTACCCTAAATTTTTATCTAACTTTTAATGGAATGATGAAAATAAAAAAAAGTAAAAAAAAATTAGAGAAAAAAAGCCAATATGTTCAAATTCTTTGCATCTCACGTGACGGCTAGTACTTCATAAACCGACCCATTATTAGCACTTATTAATGATAAAAAATAACGGACAATCGTGTGCCAAAAAGTGCAAGTATTTTAGCATAACATTGCGTGGGTGCTAAGGGACCACACATGAGAAATATGTATTGTGTTCAGAAGGGTGGACAGAAGAGACGAGTTCTTTTTCTAAGATGCGGTTGGTTGGTTTCACAGATTTCAGTTATAAACCGTGTGCGCGCGTGCCTCCAATTCTAGGTTGACCCTCTCTCTCTCTCTCTCTCTCTCTCTGTGTAAAAAATGTCTCCTACTTTCTCTCTCTAGATCCAACTTCCTCTCCTTTCAGGAGTCCTCATCCTACCCGTCATATTTTTGTTCTTTTTTTTTAATTTCCCCATAAGAAACACATTATTTAATGCAAAGAAAATTCCAAAAGGCAGCACTGACTTCAACGTGAAATTTTTAGCTGTTCTTGAGGTAATTGTCAATCTTAATATTAAATCTGTGAAAAATAGGTATTGGACTATGGGGTTTTCTGTTCTGTTTATCCATCATGATTTGTCAATCTTATTATTAATTCCATCAATAAACAGGTATTGGGTTATTGGTTTTCTGTTCTTGTTCACAATCATTACAGTGGTAAATGTTTCCCTTATTTTTAATTTTGTTTTACCCTTTTGAGGATAAAAAAAATTCACTGTTGTTGTAAATGTTATGTTCACCCAAATTTCTAGTTGAACAGGGCATTTGATCAATTGGGTTTGATAGATTTGTCGAATTGAGGCTTTTATGTGTTGTTTCTTTGCGGGAACCAAAAATTTTAATGGGTTCAATTTGTTTTTTCCAGTTATTGAATTGACAAGGGTAGAAACTGTTTATTGTATTTGGGTTTCTGGTCAGACCAGATTAGGTTGAACCTTGCAGTTACAACATTGTTTTTATCTTTTTGAAGAGTTTTTTCCAAGGTTCGAACCTTTTGGTGATTTGGGTCTGTATTGAATTGGCTAGGTCAGGAAAAGGGTTCTGTTTTACAGGAGTCTCACAATTACGTCCAGTCAATAGAACAATTATCACCGGCAGCAGTTTTTTACAATCCCAAAGGTTAGATTTTTCTATGTTCTGTTCAATTGCTCCTTGTTTATCAGCTTGTATGTCTTTAGAATGCTTATAATATTAGGATAGTTTATTGCCGTCTTATTGATCCTTCATGAGGATGTCTATTCTGTGAATTGATCCAAACGATATCAATTACTTGGCTACGATGGGCTTATTCTCTGTCTAGCTGTTATGAATCTATCTTTTTTAGTTATCTTGACATCTGTATGGTGATGAGTTTGAAATAATCTATCATTCAACATCATGCCAACATGATCTTTGATCGCCAAATATTTGTGAAGAATTTATAAGAACTTTAACCTCCCCTTTTTGGTAGAGTTATGATATTTTTGAGCTGGCTTTCTTTTGTTACTATTTTTTAATGGTTGGTTGCTTCTGGATCTAGAGACATAGTTTAGATTGGTTGATATGTTCAATATAAGGAACAAATCTCTATATTGCTTGCAGCCTTAGAGACTCGACATTGTCAACTAGTACATTGATCTGTGCTGATGTCTTTTTTTACCCTGTGTACGGTGAGCTATTAGAGTATCAGTGTTAATTAAGCATCAATGTATTTATTACTTTCTGCCTGTTAGATGGAGACNCTCTCTCTCTCTCTCTCTCTCTCTGTGTAAAAAATGTCTCCTACTTTCTCTCTCTAGATCCAACTTCCTCTCCTTTCAGGAGTCCTCATCCTACCCGTCATATTTTTGTTCTTTTTTTTTAATTTCCCCATAAGAAACACATTATTTAATGCAAAGAAAATTCCAAAAGGCAGCACTGACTTCAACGTGAAATTTTTAGCTGTTCTTGAGGTAATTGTCAATCTTAATATTAAATCTGTGAAAAATAGGTATTGGACTATGGGGTTTTCTGTTCTGTTTATCCATCATGATTTGTCAATCTTATTATTAATTCCATCAATAAACAGGTATTGGGTTATTGGTTTTCTGTTCTTGTTCACAATCATTACAGTGGTAAATGTTTCCCTTATTTTTAATTTTGTTTTACCCTTTTGAGGATAAAAAAAATTCACTGTTGTTGTAAATGTTATGTTCACCCAAATTTCTAGTTGAACAGGGCATTTGATCAATTGGGTTTGATAGATTTGTCGAATTGAGGCTTTTATGTGTTGTTTCTTTGCGGGAACCAAAAATTTTAATGGGTTCAATTTGTTTTTTCCAGTTATTGAATTGACAAGGGTAGAAACTGTTTATTGTATTTGGGTTTCTGGTCAGACCAGATTAGGTTGAACCTTGCAGTTACAACATTGTTTTTATCTTTTTGAAGAGTTTTTTCCAAGGTTCGAACCTTTTGGTGATTTGGGTCTGTATTGAATTGGCTAGGTCAGGAAAAGGGTTCTGTTTTACAGGAGTCTCACAATTACGTCCAGTCAATAGAACAATTATCACCGGCAGCAGTTTTTTACAATCCCAAAGGTTAGATTTTTCTATGTTCTGTTCAATTGCTCCTTGTTTATCAGCTTGTATGTCTTTAGAATGCTTATAATATTAGGATAGTTTATTGCCGTCTTATTGATCCTTCATGAGGATGTCTATTCTGTGAATTGATCCAAACGATATCAATTACTTGGCTACGATGGGCTTATTCTCTGTCTAGCTGTTATGAATCTATCTTTTTTAGTTATCTTGACATCTGTATGGTGATGAGTTTGAAATAATCTATCATTCAACATCATGCCAACATGATCTTTGATCGCCAAATATTTGTGAAGAATTTATAAGAACTTTAACCTCCCCTTTTTGGTAGAGTTATGATATTTTTGAGCTGGCTTTCTTTTGTTACTATTTTTTAATGGTTGGTTGCTTCTGGATCTAGAGACATAGTTTAGATTGGTTGATATGTTCAATATAAGGAACAAATCTCTATATTGCTTGCAGCCTTAGAGACTCGACATTGTCAACTAGTACATTGATCTGTGCTGATGTCTTTTTTTACCCTGTGTACGGTGAGCTATTAGAGTATCAGTGTTAATTAAGCATCAATGTATTTATTACTTTCTGCCTGTTAGATGGAGACATTTTTTGAGAGTTTTGCATTGGATGTAATTTACTTCCAGAAATTACTGAAAACTAGAATGCCAAATGGGTCTCGAAATGGCTGAATGCAGCTAAATGCATCCTTTAAATGCCTTTTTTTTTTGGGTAAAACAAATTATACTAGTGAAACTCCAATTTTGGGCTCTTGCTTTATAGGTGTCATTTGCCTAACCTCACGAGTGACATCCATAACATGTAAAGCCAGCAGAATCGTTGTCCATACATAATCAATAACCATAGCATCATCACAGAGTAATAAGTATTTGAATTTTAAATATCATACCTTTACAAATATCTCAGCTCTGTGTTCTTTGGAATTAGTGTAGGTGCTTGCATGACTTTCATGTCTTCACAAATGAAAAAATGTGAAGTTCCTTCTTTATTTGATGATATGGTAACATTTTTATTGGAATGCTAAGTTTATGCATGATTATTTACTGACCAATGTGGTTCTTCACGCATGTTATAGAATGTGGATTACTTTTAGTTAAATACAGATCAAGTTTTATAGCTGGCATCATATCTTTCATAATATCTTCTTGAGGGATACTTTTTGTGTCTGCCTGTTAACTGCTCGGACAAAAGATACCTGACAACATTATTTCCTATTTTGTTTACCTTAGAATTTGCCAGATCCTTTAGAAGTTCATCCTTAACCTCTTATTTTTGTTTTGGGCTCTTCTTTTCAGCTATTATTAGTTATTGATTTAATTCCCTCTCTCCCTCTCTCTCTCTACGCAATGCAAAATAAACTTTGTCATGTATTAACATCAGAGGTCTTGGGTTTGAATACGTTCGGTTTAAAGTTGTCAGTTATCTGGGATGCTTGTTTATTCACTTTTTCTTTTCTCCTCATGGTGTGTTTGCAGTTGAACCTTAACAGAGTAGAGTGCATTCAGCATTGCACCACTCAAGGGCATCCAGCAATCTCAGTTTGTGGTAATGTCTATTTTCTAAGCTTTGTACCATTAAGGAGGGAGGAAATGCCTTACTAGGAGGTTCAGTCAGATATGTCATGGATGATCCAGAACCACCGCAGATAGATCTAGAGTCAGACATTACAAGGAAGTGAAGAATAGACAGTTCCTCAGGCAGAGAGATTGGATTGATTAGCAACGTTTTGATATAAACACTGGCAGAATCTAATAGTGAAAAGAAAATGAAGGTTTTCATCTTTCTCTTCATATTACTTGAAAGATCAAATTTGAAAGATTCCATTTTTTGCTAACGTATATTCACTTGCCCTTTGGAAAGTTCATGTAGAAAAAGGATCTTGAGAAAAATTTGATATCTCCTTTCCATAGATTCTGGGAAAGGCTTCTTTACTCATATTATCCTGGGAAGCTTTTCTTTCCCTTATAGTACATTCCCCAGTATGATGGAGCCAAAACTTCAGGATAAATTGTCACTTTGAGACAAGAAAAGCTCTGAGTTTCCACCAAATGATCAAAGCAAATGGAACCTTGACTATTTTTTTGTATTTTTACATAGATGTCTCAAGCCCTTATGTCTTCAATTACTTGCATGTTAGACACAAAGACCAATGCCTTCAATTCAATGATGGGGATCCAATGTGAAAAAATATCACCCAGTTTATGCTATTGATGGAGGCATGGGAGGGGTAGATTTGGCAAATACCTAACCTTTTGCATTATTTGTACAAAGTAGCTATCGTCAGGTTTGAAACCACAACCTTAAGCTTATTGGGCGAATGTACAAGAAAATGCATTTAACTTAATACAAGACTTATCCATAGGTATGGTGCTGGTGCTCACGTGTGTGGTACTCTTTTTTGAGTCAAGATAGGACTATCACATTAGTAGAACTCGATATTGGAGGACATAGCATACTCGTAACTTGGTCACTCTGTTGATTGTTAGTTGTTACTACTAGACTGCCTAGTTGGGATGGAAGGAAGGAGAATGTAGAATGAGAGCGTGGGAGTGCAATTCTATTACTAGGGTTAAGTTTCCCAGTAATAGTTATTATTTGATTCATGTGGTTGATTCGGTAAAATTTTTTCCCAACAACCACTATGTTGGGTAATTAGCACAATTATAAGTTATGTTTGTTAAGGACATGAGATTACTACCTTCTGGTGGGAATGAAATATCTTGCAGTAGGAATGAGAATTGCACAAGCAATAGTGCACACTGTACATAGCATTGAGATTCCCATTACGGTCCTTTGTTCCTGCCATCCAGACTGGGCCTGATGGTTTGCCCAAAAGAGGATGACATATGGGGGGTTTTCTAGCAAAATTTGTGAATCAAAGTCTATACTCCATTTACTGTTTTTTATTATTAAAGGTGGTTGTAGACATAAGATGCTTTTTTTGGTAATTTATCATTGGTATGTTTTTTTTTTTCGGTAAGTTTATCATTGGTATGTTTGAAGTGTTAGGATTTGCTATAATGGAACCTTATTGTGAATCTATGGATTCCAATGTGAGCATATAGTATTATCATAAAAAAGTTGTGAAACATAACACTTCCAAATGAATTTTTAACTGATTTTGCCATTGCACTGCATGATTGATTTCCTATTGATGTGTCTGTTGCAGCATTTAAACTGATAAAATTTGTTGGTAAAGCAAAGAATCTCAAATTTGTCTACAGATTCTGACACAAGTTTTTTTTTTTTTTCAGGATCAACCTTCCAGGCATGCCCATAAACTTAATGCTACTTCTGGAAGTGGGCAGGTACAGAAACTTAATGCTACTTCTGGATGGTTGTTAATTTAATGGAGTGAGCAGTGTCTGTGAATGGGTTGTCAACTCCCAGCACTGTTGTTCGTTTATCGGTTGTGGCCTCATGTAGGGCCTCCTGAATGGCTTGATTGCAGAAAATATTTGCATGTGTTTTCTGTTTTTGTATTATTTGCTGGGCACTAGTTGATTCTATCCCTAAAGAAGTTGGAATACTCTCATTTAACTCGGAGCTCCTGCATTTATTTTTTGGTTGAATTGGATTTTCTTCTTTGTTGTAAATATGCCTGAATCATTGTGCAGTAGTGTATTCCAAAAGTGAAAAGTATTCTGTTACCATTTCCTCCATTCTCATAGTGCTTAGCTAATGGGACTATTGTTTGATGGTAGAACAGGTATCAGCAAGATGGAATCCTGCTGAAGCATGCAGACCCATCATAGATGAAGCTCCTATATTTTATCCAACTATTGAGGTAATAATTTCCCCCCACAATGGAGACATGATGTCATCTGGTGGATTGATAACTTCACTCATTATGATAATTATTTTACTTATTCTGTCCGATCTTTCACTCATTAGGAATTCCAAGATACCCTTGGTTACATAGCAAGGATACGCCCCAAAGTCGAAGCATATGGGATTTGTAGGATTGTCCCACCTCCTTCCTGGAGACCACCCTGCCCTCTTAAGGACAAAAGGGTATGGGAACATGCCGAATTTTCTACACGGATTCAGCAAGTTGACTTGCTTCAAAATAGGGAGCCCATGAGAAAGAAAAGAGGCCGGAAGCGAAAACGACGAGCGCATTCAAAGATGGGAGCTACGAGGAGACGTCCCAGTTCCCAAGGTTCTGAAACCAATACAACTTCTGACACTGATGAGAAGTTTGGGTTTCAGTCAGGTCCGGACTTTACACTAGAGGAATTTGAGAAATTTTCCAGTAACTTCAAAGATTATTATTTTGGATTGAAGGATATGAAGGAGGAAGTAAACGTTTATGGGACTGAACCGAACATGAGATGGGAACCCTCTGTGGAAGATATTGAAGGCGAGTATTGGCGAATCATTGAGCGGTCTACAGATGAGGTTGAGGTAAGAAATATGATATTTCAGTGCCAGTCTTTATTTTTTGAAATATGCACGTGTACAGTAGATAATATTTATCTTTAATATTTCAGGTATGCTATGGGGCTGATTTGGAAACTGGATTATTTGGGAGCGGGTTCCCAAAAGCTTCATCTTCCATCGGCAGTAAACCAGATCAATATGTGTCTTCGGGTTGGAATTTAAATAACTTTCCGCGCTTGCCGGGTTCCCTACTAAGTTTTGAGGGATGTGATATCTCCGGAGTTCTAGTTCCATGGCTATATATAGGGATGTGCTTCTCATCATTTTGTTGGGTAAGCCTTGGGAACCATTGCAATTTAAGTTTAACCATTTGTTTTTTGATTAAAGAAGGGGGAAGATAGAATGGCATTTTTTGCCTTATAGCAATTTTATTTGTTGATGTTTAATTTTCTTTTACTTGGTACTTCTCGTCAACGTGTTTTGAAATTTACATATATAAGACTACGAATTAAATGCTTTATAAACTCTGAACAAGATTGGACAATACTAATTCGATAGAATGGGGCATGTTATGCTCTGGTTCTCTCCTGGGCTCATTGATGTGCAGATGTTCAAATTGAGAAGTAAAATACACTGCAAGGATTACAGAAGCGAGAAGCACGTTGGGCTTGGGAACATTAATCAGCAAATCTATGAATCAGCTAGTCTTAGACCCTAACAAATTGCTTTGTCTCAGTTTTCCATCGAAACTGAAGTTTCTGATGGAAGACTGAACCTCACATTGCACATGATGTTGAGTAATTCAAGAACATAATTTAACTCAAGAACCGAGACTCTTACTTTTTTTTCCTGTTCAGTGATATTATTTCTGAGTTTGCAGGCTTGTCTGCATGTTTCAAAAGCTTCTGGATGTAAACTAATTCTCCTGAGCACATTTACATGGAATTTATATGCTACTCATCCCTCATCAAAATTAGAGTAGGACAAAATCAGTTAGTAGTAAGTCCACTAATAAAGATTTTTTTATTCAATCAAAGCCAACCATAACGAAAGACACATGAATTCCGAATAAATTTTTAGGTCCTCCTGAATTCTAAAAAATTGGGTTCACTTGATTAACTCGCAGGATTGTTATGTTAATCTAGAATAGAGAGGGCAAAAATGATTGAACCTTTAACAAGAAGATTTTGTTAAATCTCACGGGCCACATTAAGCTTGCGGCTTGATTTATCGTATTTGTTTATCTAGTCAATTATTGTTTAGAAGGTGAAGGATGTTCCTAGGGAACAGAAATGGTACAACAAAGGCAAAAACTCAGGTATGTGATCTAGGCTTGATGTAGGGCGACTTTGGCAACTTTAGGTTGTGCTGCTTACGAATAATTTATGATGAAGTGATAGTCAACCTCATGTGCTTAGAGCAGGAATGGAACACATGATTGGCAAGCCAAGTGTCTAGTGCTAGTCACAGTTTGGGAGAGGTTGGCATTGGCTTTATCATGAAAATGTTTGATTGCAAGTAGATTTATCAAGAGATTAAATTTTGATCTGAATCCATGTTCGATTATCTCCGATGATAATTTTTACCAATAATTCAACTTGGAATTGGAATCCGAATCCATTGCATTGTATTTGGATATATCAATATCGATCTGTTAATGACCTGATCAAATGATATATGTATAATGTGTTTTCATCTTCACCGTAATTTAAAGTCCAATATATCTGCACGATAGATGTGGTGTGTAATATCTCAACAATAGATATAAAACTCCTAGTACTGGAGTCTTATTCGATAGGCTTCTATTACTTATCTTTGTTTTCCCCTCCTTCTCTCCTTCACTGGCCAAATCTACCCTTTTCGGCTTTGATCGGCCATCTATGGCTCCGTCACTGTTGAAATTTAGAGATTGTCGAATTAAAGTTGTTACGTTCTCCTCTGTTTCAAGGTATGAAACATGTTCTGTGCCTCTTTTTTATCTGGTGGTTCTCTTACCCGTGGATGACTGTAATGATTAAAAGAGTCTGCCTTTCTGGTAGTTTATTGTCAGTTTTCTTTGTTATTCCATTAATGGGTTTATCTCTGTGTATATGTATTCATATTTATATGTGTTTGTATATAGTTGATAGTGTTATTAGTTTTGGTTCATGATGGACAGAATTGTCATGGTTGTAGTATTAGAACATTTTTCTTATGGGCGAATTTGATGATAATGAGGGATGCAATGCTCAACTTGTGGATTGGTCTTGGTTTGCTTCTGATGCATAACCAAATGAATGGTACAATGGCACAGATCGGATCTGTCAAATGTGGACAGATTCAGATGTGGATTGAATTTTGCAACTCTGCAAAATAAAGGGATCAAATCTCATTGAGTAAATTACGATTGGATTTGGATTTAGCACAATCCGATCCATATCTATTCCATTTACAGTCCTAGGTGTAGGTTTCCCAAGGAGAAACTGGGTTGAAATTTGGACATCCAGTGAAAGTTTTTTGGTGGTATTTTAAGAGCCTGGAGAAATAAGTTAGTGGTGGCAAGGGGTTAATGCATCAGAGTTTAGGGGCAGGATGGGGCACTATGAGGAGGCAATGAACGAGAGCCCAAAAACATTTTTCTTTTGGTTATAGGTTTTAGGTTCCTAGGGAGGAATATTGATACAAGAAAGAACTTGGATTTGTATGGTTTTCTCAGGCTTGAAGTATGTGGTTAGAAAAGTCTGATCACAATTTAAAAGTGTTGAATAGCAGAGAAAGATAAAAAAGAGGAAGTCAAAGAATCAGGCTGTCAGGTATTTCTGCTTAGAATTAACCAGCTCAACTCAGCCTTATCCCAACATCCTTGGGATCGACTACATGAATCATTTTTCTTACATTATGCTCTATCAAGGGCCATACCTTCTGTCAAACCAATAAGTTATTGCATCTTTTTTTTTTACTATTTCGTTTAAAGTTAGTTTCGGTCCTTGTGTACCCATTTGGTTCAATAGCCATCACATTACTCTCTTACTGGTGCTGTATCAGGGCCTAAAATTTAATACCAAAATTTTGCAAGGTAAAACAATACCACTGCTGAATTCCTGAATTGCCCTTTTTCTTGTTTGTATACTTTCCATTGTGATTTCTTGCAACATTTGAATGTTCTGCTAATTCCAATTCCAAAAAGATATGCCTTTATTAATTGTCAAATCTAGTAGTTTCTCTTAACTTTGTTTTACATATCAATTACAATTTAATTGTTGTTGGGCGTCCAATGAGAACAATATCATTTTGAAATTGAAAACACTTGGAATTAATGTGAGTAAAAAGGGATACAAACTAAGTGTAGAGCCCCCGTATATATAGTCAATGAGAGTTACCATAAGGACAAAAAGGTAAAAAAGGAAAACTTAATAAGACCCTAATAAACTAGGTTGCTGCTATATCTCCAACACTCCCCCTCAAACTAGGCACAAAAATGTCAACTAAGCCAAGCTTGACAACGGAGTCCCGAAGAATAGACAGAGTGACCGGTTTGGTAAAAACATCCGCAACCTGATCACTGGTCCCCACAAACGATGGAGTGACAATACCACTGCTAACCTTCTCCCGAAGAAAGTGAACATCAATCTCTATATGCTTCGTCCTCTCATGTAGTACAGAGTCAGAAGCGAGCTGAATAGCAGATCGATTATCACAATATAATGTGGAAGGAAAGGTCACTGAAAAACCCAACTCGCTAAGAATCGATCGTAGCCAGATAATCTCACACGTGCCAAGTGCTAGTGCCCGATACTCTGCCTCTGCTGATGAGCGGGAGACAACTGCCTGTTTCTTGCTCTTCCAAGAGATAAGATGAGTCCCTCGAAAAGCACAGAAGCCCGTAGTAGATCCACCATCACATGCTCCCCCANGATCGTAGCCAGATAATCTCACATGTGCCAAGTGCCAATGCCCGATACTCTGCCTCTGCGGACGAGCGGGAGACAACTGCCTGCTTCTTGCTCTTCCAAGAGATAAGATGAGTCCCTCGAAAAGCACAGAAGCCCGTAGTAGATCCACCATCACATGCTCCCCCATAATTTGAATCTGAATAACAGGCTAGAGAACCGGTCTAAGATCCTGATATNCTCCCCCATAATCTGAATCTGAATAACAGGCTAGAGAACCGGTCTGAGATCCTGATGCATAAAACAACCCAAGTCCAGGACAAGACTTGAGGTACCGAAGAATATGATAAACTGCATCAAGATGAGGCTGACATGGCCTATGCATGAACTGACTAACTCGGCTGACTGCGAATGAAATGTCCGGCCTAGTATTGGCTAAGTAGATAAGTTTACCTAACAATCTTTGATAAACTGTCGGATCTTTCAACTCCGCACCTTCAGCAGTAAGCTTCAGGTTTGGAATCATAGGTGATAATGCCGGTTTGCACCCCAACATCCCAGTGTCTGAAAGAAGATCCAAAACATACTTTCTCTGAGAAAGAACAACACCTCTGCTTCTACGGGCAACCTCAATCCCAAGAAAGTATCGCAGAAATCCAAGATCCTTCACATCGAAGGCCTTCCCAAGGTCTATCTTGACCTGCGCAGTCCCAGAAATATCATCACCAGTAATAATAATATCATCAACATATACCAGAAGGATGACACACTGTCCAGAAGTATTCCGTCGAATAAAGCAGGTATGATCAGAATGACACCTGGTGAACCCCAATCGTATGACTACATCACTGAAGCGAGAGAACCAGGCTCGTGGCGACTGTTTCAGTCCATAAAGAGACTTACGCAGTCGACATACCTTTCCAGCATACTCCCCCTCACCACGAAAGCCCGGTGGTGCATCCATATAAATAATCTCGTCCAGATCACCGTGAAGAAACGCATTCTTCACATCTAATTGATGAAGAGGCCAAGAGTACTCCACAGCCAGAGAAATAATCAACCGAACAGTAGTCAATTTTGCTACGGGGGCAAATGTAGTACCAAAATCATGACCTGGTACCTGAGTAAAGCCCTTCGCCACAAGTCTAGCCTTGTGACGATCAATAGTACCATCCGCAAGAAACTTCAGGGTGTAAACCCAGCGACAGCCAACAGGCTTCACCCCTGAAGGTAAGGAGACAAGATCCCATGTATGATTACGCTGAAGAGCATCCATCTCTGTCTGCATAGCAAGAACCCATTGGGGCTCCCGCATAGCCTCTGAAATAGAGCGAGGAACCGGCGTATCTGATAAGGCCATAGTATAAGATCGAAATGTGGGAGACAGATCACCATAAGAAATATAACCAGAGATCGGATATAAAATCCTGGCGGTCCAACCATAACAATCAACAGGACGACGATCACGTCGCGGATAACGACGCCCTAAATCATACTCCTCCACTGATAATGTCTCATTAGGTAAATGAACTGGTTCAGCACCTGCAATCTCATCAGTACTAACAATAGGTGCATTAATATGCTCAACAAACTGAGAAATATTACCTGTATCGCCTGAGGTAGAGAGGACATCAGCAGGGTGATGAGAGCGAGGGCGACGAACATACACCTGCAAAGGAAGAGAGACTGGCAACTCTGTACTGACAGAGATGAGTGGCTCTGAAGAAGGAGAAACAGATAACCCTGTAGGGATAATGACCAATGACTCTGACTCCTGTGGTAATGGAAAATCAAAGGGAGTATCATCAACTGGAGGGGCAGACACAGGACTGGGAGAAAAATAAGGAAT